ATTATTAGATTTATTATTATTACCTCTACATCTAGTATCACCACCAAAACCTTCCCGACACCGATAACAATTGGTNTCTTGGAGGAACACCAACAACACTGGCAGGAGGAATATCTAGTCCATCATGAGTTCTTCCACTCCATGTACCACTGCTACATCCCATTGACAATATCCTAGTAGTTTCTGGTTCTCCTGGGTTAGGAGTAAATGTAGCAATAAGAGAAATTTCTGTATAAGTATTAATCATGTTCCCTTGAGCTTGACAGACATATTGAACTGATCCTGTTATGTTAGGAGAATATGACTGACTACCTTCAGAAATAACCAGTAAGAAAATCAATGCATTCTCTATATCAGCATTGGATGGTAGAGGACAATCTTGAGCAACTGATAATGAGAAAAAAAAGCACACAAGGCACATAGATAGTAACTAGACAATCTACTTAGAATAACAGAACTATATTACTTAAATATTAAAATAGATTGCAACCTAGTCTTGCCCTCCTCCTTCGCTACCTCCATTTGCAGGTAGCCAAGGGGCAGGGTGAGACTATTTGCAACCCATATCCCAGACTGTCTATTTTTGTCATGTCTAAGCATAGTACTTGTATATATTTTTACTCCTATACTTATATTGGATGCCAAATTGATAAATTTACTACAAACTTGTAAAGTTATAGCATGCAACTTCAGAGAATCAATGAGTAAATATATTTGGCATATAAAAAGGATGTTCAATGGCTTATATGGTACTTAGTGACAGTACTGTGGTTGTAAACTGAGTGGTTTGTTCATTGATGGAATGTGGTGTAGGCTATACAGGAATTAATGTGTGGCTACTGAATGTGCACTGTGCATTTTATACATGTAGATACCCATGTAACTTACTCACCAGTACAGTTGATTCCCTGGAATCCAGTACCAGTACAATTACAAGTATAATTATCAGGAGGTGAATACTGTATACACTGTCCTCCATTCATACATGGACTGTCTGCATCACAGATACTAGCCAAATAACAGTCAGTACAATTGGAATTAACAGCATAACCAGCAGAACAGGTTAAATTGCAAGCTACATAACAACAGTAAGAATGACAATAATAATAAAGAAATGTGATTACGATAAACATACTGCATTACTCTCAGTAGCAACATATCACAAAATTTGTGTGTTAAAATGACCAACTTTGATATCCAAATTTATAACACAAAAGTATATGTTGCTTTACATACTGCATGTTACTTTGGTTAATGATAATACCAGCAATTAACTCTTTATTCTAGATAATTTTTTTTAACTTTTAAAGTTGATCGTAAAAGTGCTTAAATTTACTATTACATGTATTGTACTTACATGCATGCACACAATCAGGTAATCTAATTAAACTGTGGCAGGAATGAACTTATTTGATAATATTTACACAACTACACAAGCTATGGCAAGATCAGTAGTAGAAACAAGGAATTTAAATTTTAGGGCTTCAAAGTACATGAACTTAAGCTTGATGTCATGTATAAAAAGGAAACAAAACATGAGATCCTACATCTACATGTAAGCTCTGTTAGTTTCATTATCCTTAATTACACACTCTTTTACCTTTATCATATGGATTCTGAGTTACTATTGTACATGTACATGTAAATGACCCACAAATAAGGATTAATACCATGTACATTGGCTTACATTGAACATTAAGAGTCACAGTGGTGTCCATGTTAACTCCTGGTAAGTCTGTATTAGTGGATCTACATGTATAATTACCACTAGCTGCTCCGTTAATATTGGTTAAGTGTAAAGTCAAAGGAGGATTATTAGTGACAGGTGTAAGCTCACTACCATCACTATCATTAATCCATACATAACGTGGTACACCACTGTTACCAGGATCAGAACATGTTAATGTTAAGTTGGATCCTTCAATGACACTAACAGTGCCATTAGGAGATACTCTTGGGTTTAAAAAGTCTACAGAAAAGAATTAATGAAACATATGTACAAACAAATGATATATCAACTCACTAAAAGCTCCAATAGTAATGACAGATTGCTGGTCAGCTGAAAATGATGAGCATGTCAGTGTATCACCAACATCAACAACAGTAGCAGGATGTACAAGAGTAAGAAACAATGTATTAGAAGTATTTGATATTATAACATTTCCACTAAAGTCACCATCACTTAGTACAGTACTACCTTTCCTCCATACACCATCAGAGAAGGAAATAAAATCACCTTGATTACTAATAAATCTGCATCGAATACAAACTGGTTTTGTCAATGGCACATTGATGGTTCTATCATTTAATACTAATATCGATGTTGCATTAGCAGGACATGAACCATTAGTGACACGATCTGAAAGTGAGAAATGATTTGGAGTGATTGTTACAAAGTATGAACAAGCAAGTGTACAGTGTATGTGACGTATAAAATAAAAATAAAATGAGAAAGATAAACAATGCATATAAAACTGTGATAGTTTTGACAACAAATAAATCACTGAAGCCATGCAGTCATTTAGTAAATACATTTTACTTACTCACCAGTACAGTTGACTCCCTGAAATCTTGTACCAGTACAATTACAAGTATAATTATCAGGAGGTGAATACTGTATGCACTGTCCTCCATTCATACATGGACTGTCTGCATCACAGATACTAACCAAATAACAGTCAGTACAATTGGAATTGACAGTATAACCGAAATGACAGAATAAATTGCAAGCTACATAACAACAATAAAAATGTATTTGTAATTATAAATTAGCATACTACAAGTGAAGTTATTACTCTCAGTAGCAACATATCACAAAAATGGTCCGTTAAAATGACACATTTGATCCAAAATTATAACACATAAGAATATGTTAATTTCGATAATTATGTTATTTCAGTTAATGATAATACTGATTATTTAAACTACAGTACGCATTATAGGTTGTACTATAGTATCTATGGTTGTACTTACAAGTATGCACACAATCAGATATTCTGCCAAATTTGTGGCAGGAAGTCATTTGGTAATATTTACACAACCACACAAGCTATGGTTAGATCACTAGTAGGAACTAGGAATTTAAATTATATGTATAAAATTTTTGGGGCTTCAAGTACATGAACTTAAGCATAATCATAGTAAACAAAACATGTGATCCTACATCTGTTAGTTTCACTATCCTTAATTATTTATCCTTCTATATGGATTCTTTTTGTTACAAGTATTTTAACAAAGAGTGCATTAAGAAATTTTAAGTTGCTATTGTACATGTGAATGACCCACAAAATTAAGGATAATAAAGGAGATACTGTGTACATTGGCTTACATTGAACATTAAGAGTTACAGTAGTGTCCATGTTAACTCCTGGTAAGTCTGTATTAGTGGATCTACATGTATAATTACCACTAGCTGCTCTGTTAATATTGGTTAAGTGTAAAGTCAAAGGAGGATTATTAGTGACAGGTGTAAGCTCACTACCATCACTATCATTAATCCATACATAACGTGGTGTACCACTGTTGCCAGGATCAGAACATGTTAATGTTAAGTTGGATCCTTTAATGACACTAACAGTGTCATTAGGTGATACTCTTGGGTTTAAAAAGTCTATAGAAAAGATTTAATAAAACATATGTACAAACAAATAATACATCAACTCACTAAAAGCTCCAATAGTAATGATAGAATTCTGACCAGCTGATGATGAAGAGCATGTCAGTGTGTCACCAACATCAACAACAGTAGCAGGATGTACAAGAGTAAGAAACAATGTATTAGAAGTACTTGATATTATAACATTTCCACTAAAGTCGCCATCACTTAGTACAGTACTACCCTTCCTCCATACACCATCAGAGAAGGAAATAAGATCACCAGATTGAAAATCAATAAATCTGCATCCAATACAAACTGGTTCTGTCAATGGCACATTGATGGTTCTATCATTAAGTATAAATATCGATGTTACCATGGCAGGACATGAACCATTAGTGATAAGATCTGAAACTGAAAAATAATTTGGAGTCAATGTCATGATAGAATACCATACATAAGCAAGTGCATGTGAAAAAGATATAGCACATGAAATTTGCCTATATACATGCTTAGCAGGCAGTACTGGGATTTGTAAACTGAGTGGATCTATTAATCGTGTTATGTTACACTGGAATGTATAGGTGCTGAATGTGTAAATTACAATTGACAAATGACAACAGAAGCCACATATGTCATTTACTCACCAGTACAGTTGACTCCCTGGTATCTACCAGTACAGGTACAAGTATAATTATCAGGAGGTGAATACTGTATACACTGTCCTCCATTCATGCATGGTCTGTCTGCATCACATATGCTAACCAGGTTACAGCCAGTACAATTGGAATTTACAGTATAACCATCAAAACAGGTTAGATTGCAAGCTATATAACAACAATAAGAATGATAAAGATGCATGTAATTATGATTAACATACTGCAAGTGAAGTTATTACTCTCAGTAGCAACATAGTTAGGACCAGATGCTGTACAGGATAGGTCATTACTGCACTGACCATTAGCAGCAAATGATAAACAACAATCACCAGAACCTGATCCATTACACCTCATCAGTCCAAAATTACAAGCACTATCACACTCTAAATCAGGTTAACAATTTATTATTATTATTATTATTATTATTATTGTTATTATTATTATCATTATTATTAGATTTATTATTATACCTCTACATCTAGTATCACCACCAAAACCTTCCCGACACCGATAACAATTGGTTCTTGGAGGAACACCAACAACACTGGCAGGAGGAAGATCTAGTCCATCTTGAGTAATTCCACTCCATGTACCACTGCTACATCCCATTGACAATATCCTAGTAGTTTCTGCTTGTCCTGGGTTAGGAGTGTATGTAGCAATAAGAGAAACTTCTGTATAAGTATTAATCATGTTCCCTTGAGCTTGACAGACATATTGAACTGATCCTGTTATGTTAGGAGAATATGACTGAAAACCATGAGCATTGAGCAGTAAGATAGTCAATGCATTCTCTATATCAGCATTGGCTGGTAGAGGACAATCTTGAGCAACTGATAATGAGAAAACAAGAATAAAGCACACAAGACACTTCATGGCATGCAGTCTTGTAGAACAACTAGATTATCTACTTTGCTTCTATCTATTTGTAGTGTTTTGAGGTTAGTAGTACAGTTTCCTGCATTCCTTAAATGATATCTCACCTAGTAGGGTCTAATGATGTAAAACATAGAATTTGAAAGTGCATAATAGTTTACATAGTTTATATGTGAAGACATTATGGTTCATACACTATACTATGTAAACATGGTTTACTTTCTCCTTGTTCTCTCATCTCTC